AAAATGAATATCATATCAGATATAATCGAAAAAGAAATATTTGACAAAGATGTTTTAAATATATTATTATATAAACTCGTGGCAGACATCATATTAATATTGATAATGTTTATTACAACAATATTAACTGCTTGGATGAAAAATAAATATTTATTAAAAAATAAAGAAAAAAAAACAAAAAATAAAATTATTTCTATCAATGAAAAATATCATGATATAATAGATATGATTTGTGAAAATCTTAATATTGAAACAAATAATGAACGTAATTATGATGATAAATTAAATGATATATTAGAATTTTCTAAAAAAATTTACATCGGATAAAATTATATATCAAAATATCTTTTTTCTATCGATTCTAATCTTGATTTATTCTCCTTTAATAATTTATTTTTTTTCTCTTCACTTTCTTTAATAATCTTATCTTTAATATTTTTTTCTTCTTTAGCTATTTCATCGAATTCTAATTTGTATTTTCTTGAAATATTTTGTTTTTTTGTTTTAATAATTTTTTCTTCTTTAACTATTTCTTCCAATTCAAATTTATATTTTTTCGATTGACTTTCCTTTTTCTTTTTAATATTTTCCATTAAAATTGATAATTCCAAATTCTTTTCTTTATCTATTGTTTTTGATGATAAATCAAGACTTTCTCTTATCTTATGTTCTTCGGTATTTTTTCTCTTGGTTTTTAATTGTTTCATTTCATGGATCTGATTTAACATTATTTCTACTTCTTCTTTACTGAATTCAAACTGACATATCGGACAAGTTTCTTTTTTTTTAATCCATACATCAATACATTTAGTATAAAAAGTACAATTACATAGTAATTGTGTAATAGATTTAAAAGTATTAAAACAAATAGAACATTCATTCGACATTTTTTTTTCAAAAAAAAAATATTAAAACACATGGACATGATATATTTATTTTAATAAAATTAATCATTATACGATTAAAATATAATAAAAATTAATAATGATATGATAAATTCAGAATTAATCATTAAAATA